TTTAAAAAATCACAAACATGCAAAAATGATTCGTCTACACCTTTGTTTTCAATTCAAAAAAAATAATAAATTACTTTTCGTTTTTATTTACCTCATTTCTGAAGCACAAAAGTTTGTTTACAGGACAGAGGAAATTCTGACGGGCACAGAAGAAAGTGTCGAAAAATAATTAATAACATGTTCATTACACAAAATTTGTAATACCGGGGAACGGAATTATATGTAGTTTAACTTTAAACAAAACATCGTTTGTTTATTCATCCGTTTTTATTAAATTATGCATAAAAAATCTAGTTGTATCAAACCTGGTGGTTAAGGCACAGAATACGCTAACTTTGGGAGAGAAAAAGTCTCGATTTTTGCAATAAACATATATTTTTTCGCAATACAATCTCTTTAAACATCTTTAATCTACCAAATTTGAGTACATACAGAGCTACGAAATAATCCATCACTTTGCACGAGCATATTTTGTGGACCACACGTTTTTCCGTGAAAACGGCACTTTTTTGAGTGTCTGCGCATGCGCGTACCCCCGTTTGAAGGTACGGATTTCCTACTTCCGTTTACCCCCGTTTGAGGGTTCGACTAGACTGATAAAGGGGCGCAAATTGGTACCCATCGGAATCCCTCTGGATTGTTGCAAGACCTGTTGTCCATAAACCACATAGACATTGTCAATCAGGAACCCGAACATCTTTTTAATATCAACTTCAAAGTACTAACGTGTACAGTCATAGTCTTTGTTTTAGCAAAATAATTTTGCAAATGACGACTGACAATTCAGGTAAGTCAATTTACGATTTCCATTTCATCGAAAAAGCAGCCGCCAATCAGAGAGTTTGTACTTTAATTTACACTGGGGAATGGTTGTTTATAAAGTTGAAAAGTTGCAAGTTTTTAGGTTTTTGATTTTAGTTTAAAGTCAGCGGGGAGCAGTACATACTGATCGTTTACTAAATTAACCTAATTCATCCTAGCAAATAATATCAAATACCTGAAAGGAATATTTTTGCGCTGTAAAATACTATTTAAGAGTACGAATGTCAGACACCTCGGCCCAACGACACCTCGGCCCATTGACATCTCAGCCCAGTGACAACTCGGCTCAGACAGGTCGGCCCATACATAAAACACCTCGGCCCAAGCAAAAATTCTTTGAGAAATAAAGTATTTTTCCGATTTCAGAATTTGCGTCTTAAAATAATTTTTTTTTTATCTAGAACAAAGTCATTGAAAAAATTATAATTTTTTTTTATTATACAAAAACATCATTGAGTATTTTGACTATAATCAAGGAATGAGAAGACATAATTAAGGTGCTAACTGATAAACAAATTGCCACGGCACTTCCTTAATTTGGGGTCTCCATACCGGTAAACTGGTGACAATGAGGGGTTAACTACAAACAGGCTTAAATTGGGGTCTGCACGTTTATATGGCACGCCAAATTCAAAAAAATGAGATAATCATAGTTTCACAATCGATAAACTAGGTTTATCGGTTGTAAACTATAGTTAACAACGTTAATCTATATTTCACATCTGTAAACCATAGTTAACGCGATAATCTATGTTTCACAACCGTAAACTATACTTAACACCGAAAACAATCATTTGCGATAGCAAAACATAGATTATCTGATAAATACAGTTTCACGATTTGTAAACTATAGTTTACAAACCGTTAACTATAGTTAACGATCTGATAAATATAGTTTCTCAATTTGTGAAACTATGATTAACAACTCTTAACTATAGTTTACGATTGTAAACTATAGTTTACAAACGTGAATCTATGTTTATCAACAACATCTATTGTTAACGCTTTATTACAGACAGATAAATATGGCACGCCAAATTCACAAAAATGAGATAAACCTAGTTTCACAATTGATAAACTAGGTTTATCGACTGTAAACTATAGTTTACAAACCGTAAACTATAGTTAACGATTCGTTAAGTATAGTTTTCATCTGTAAAACTATATTTAACGGTTGTTAACTATAGTTTACGAATGATAATCTAAGTTTATCTGTAAACTATAGTTTACAAATCATGAAACTGTATTTATCAGATAATCTATGTTTCGCGATCGCAAATAATTGTTTTCGGTGTTAAGTATAGTTTACGGTTGTGAAACAGATTATCGCGTTAACTATGGTATACAGATGTAAAATATAGATTAACGTTGTTAACTATAGTTTACAGTCCGTAAATGTCACAACTGACCTCAAGTTGTGCTGGATTCTTTAAATTAGAACTTACAAACCAAAATAAATAGTATTTTGAAACCTCCTGTGTACCAAGAAACAACAAGATTTATAAAAATTAACAATAAATTTATCTACATATGTACAATAAATATCAAATCGGCCAAAAGTTCAATCATGGTCATCACTGGACAGATTCACACTTCACACCACGTCGCAATGTATGGTCCACCATATAAACCTAGTTTTTCGATTGTGAAACTATGATTAATCATTTTTGTGAATTTGGCGTGCCATAGATAAACTTAAATTAACATTCGGAAACTATAGTTAACAACCGTTAAACATAGTTTTACAGATGAAAACTATTCTTAACGAATCGTTAGCTATAGTTTACGGTTTGTAAACTATAGTTTACAGTCGATAAACCTAGTTTATCAATTGTGAAACTAGGTTTATCTCATTTTTGTGAATTTGGCGTGCCATACGTTTAACTTCCATTGAACATCGTTACATTTAGTTATACGTTATGGTTTCAACTACATTGTACATGTACATTAAGAAAATTCCTTCCATGTCAAAATTAAAAAAAAAATTACATGTAGTTCATTCCTTTTCACAGATTATTCTCCCCTTACTTATTTGATTTTAAAAATCGGTAAATCGTCAGAAAGAATAACTGTTACACATCTTTTCATTATTAGTAGTAACACCATATTCAGACACTGAATTAATTTTTCTATCACAATTGCTTGGGCCGAGGTGTCTTTTATATGGGCCGACGTGTCAATAATTTTGGGCCGACCTGTCAGGGCCGAGGTGTCAACTGTCACGGGCCGAGATGTCTGTCTACCAAGAGTACATATATAGGTGTACATGCTGCAAACGACAAATGGTAAAATTGTGACCGTGTTCAAAGAGGAATGACTCTTGATCAATCTCTAAAGTTAACTGCATTGGAATTAGAGAATAAAACTCCTCCATACGAGTTAAAACAGTTTTGTTCATATGCACGAGTCTTCACTCTTTTAAAGGACATATACAGTACACGAGGTGTATTTTTAATTTTTTATGATACCGTACATGGCCAATCTCTAAACGTAAAAAAGTGTAACCTGCTTGTACAGAGCGACATATAGATATCATACACGGGGAAATCTCATATTTTTGAAAAATTTTACACGCTTCAGGTGCCCGTGGAACATTAACCACGGACCTTTAAAACATCTTTGGATCAGGTGTCATGGAGGAGCAAACTTGCCCTGTCGACCGGTCAAATTCGCCGTGTTCTCTTTGTAATGATTGGAAAACGGAAAAATTTATAGGCAATTGTGTTTACAAATAAAGGCCGAACAAATTTAAGTCTTCGACTTATAATTAATGATATCCTTGCTGACCAGGTCATTATTTCGACCATAGAACTTATACATGCATATACTTGCTTTAAACGAGACTGTTGAAATTTTTGTTTCATAAACTTGTTTGTCAAAAGTTTGCCTCCTTGTAGAAATTGTTTGTACTTGGAGGATACTCCAAGTATGTCCTTGAGATCGAAATGAGATAAAAAAAAAAACCGTATGTAGGTGATAATCTTGATAGTATTGCTACAAAAGTAAGGGGAGTTTATGATAGAAAAGATATACTCCAAGTATGTCCTTGAGATCGAAATGAGATAAAAAAAACCATATGTAGGTGATAATTTTGATAATATTGCTACAAAAGTAAGGGGAGTTTATGATAGAAAAGTTTTAATCATCACGTTTACCATATATTTTTGTTGTAAGGTTTCCATTAACGTATATTTCTAGTAAAATATTGAAATATGAAAGAGATATGTCGGACTCTGGTATCCTTCATTTCAAGTTCACCGGGAAAATCGAGGCGACAAATCAATGGAACTTACGATTGTTAATTCATATTAAAAATACCGTGCAATCTTAAGGAAAACAAGTTGATGCAACAAGGACATCAGTAACATTGTTTAAAGTTAACATTTCACAAATTCTAAGGTTGATACAAAGACCTTTTTCAACAAATACAATTTATCATTTAGTCAAATGCTGACTGACATTTTTCGTACAAATTGCTAGGCCATTAAGAACACAGAACATTACTACCAGTAACTAGCAAGATTGGAAATATGCACATTCACACGTTCCCTTTGAAAACAGCTCAGGTGGATTGAATCAAATGAACTTCAAACTAGAACTTCAATCTAATGTTTTCTCGGCCGTCCGTGTCGAATTGTACCCACCCATTTCAATGTCTATCAATAAATGTTTGGACTGTAACAGATGGAAATGATGTAAAATGTATATTTCCAAATTTCCCAGTTAATGTTTCGAGGTCTTATTTACATACTGAATTTATCTCAAGTTGCACAATTGTCCAATCATGATGTCCAATGAGCGCACTGTGGGAATGACCAGGTAGTCATAAGGGAGATTCTTGCCCCTCCATGGCACCTCATCCCACCCGTTTTTGATTGCCCATATTTGTTCTGCTCCCTGTTCGTCTAGGTTTAGTGGACTTTTGAGCTTGGCTACTGATTATTTTATCCATATTTCATTACAAAAGCTTCAAGAAATGACATTCTTTAAACTCTTCAAACCAAATGGCTTGGCTAGTTTGAAGGCTCTAAATAAATGTACATACAGGATAAGGAAGTAAGAACATTTTCATCTAAGAAAAACTTAAATATGAAAAGTACACCAATCACTTTAACATATAAAAATTCTAAATAGGAAAACTGTGCTTTACTCATGATAACATAAAATATTAACACAAGTGACTGAAATTACTTTATTCACATCTCTGATCACAGTCACACATGTACATACAATATAGCAACCAATATTACTTGAATCAAATGTCACTGAATGGCAATCATCACGTGCTTGCAGGCACCTTCTGAAAAAAAAAATTACATTCAATTAATGATAAGCTTAGAAGTGCCTGATACACTCAAAACAAGCTTAGAAGTGTTTTGCTGACAACCGAACGGGCTACTTTCTACATCAGATGTGGCTGTAATAAAAGAAAACGTCATTTAGCAAGAGTTATCTTTCTTATAAATTCCATCCCATGTCAGGTTTTATCGAAGTGTCTTCTCTTAGGGCTCAATATATTGAACTCTGGAAAAGTAAATTATGAGTAATAATTATTATGATTTTTAGGGAAAAGTGGTTCACATGAAATTCATGTGATTTTCTTTTTATTTGAAAATTGCCTGAAAATAAATAAAAAAAAATTTTTTTTCTTCATGCGAATGTCATGGACATTGGCATGTATAATTTTTTTTTTAATAACTTTCATTTTAATTTTTCTTTGCATAATATTTGTGTGGATGCTCTTCACATAAAAGTTATGCCAAAATCTGAAGTTTTCACATCAATTTTACAGGTCTTGTTTTTTGTTTCTTTCTCACACAAAGAACTCACATAAAATCAATGTGAATGTGATAAAATTTATGCAAGCTACTTTTGCCCTTGTATCAATGTTTTCCTGAACATTTAAAAAAATTGAATGAGGTATTGGACCTACAGATACATGTATGTTAATAATGATGTTCTTTTTTTACATCACATGGTAGCTATATCTTCCTATCAATTATTGCCAAAAAATAGAAGCCAGCAAAAAATGTAAAACAAAAAAAAAAAATTAAATAAATAGGTGAAAGGAATAACAAAAATATTTCTAGATTGTGTTCTTTGGAAAAATGTGTTCTGTCATAAATATTTTAATCTTGGAATTTTATTTTTAGAAAACTGGGAAAAAATGAGCCAATTTTCAACTAGAAATATTGGGCTGAATATTGACCCAAAGAAGATGAAAAGGGAACTGACAAATCCCTGGACTAACCAAAATACTTATCTATTTAAATCTCAATCAATGCTGTTAAACATTGTGATCAATCTTTCAATCCTGAAACATTTTTATTAAAAAAAAAATTTCATAGACAGTGATAATTAACCTGTAGTCTTTTTAATAATGCAGCATTTTTGTTCTGGAAGTCATTTTCTGCATTGCTGTATCCCATTCCAAAGCCTGTTCCTACTCCAAATGCGATTGGCCATGTTCTTCCTGAAAAGATATCAAATGATCAAACTAGGAATGATAAAGAAAACCCTCAAAGTACATGTACATGTAGCAACTGGACTATGGTGAACATTTAACCTTTTATTCATAGATAAAATGCTGCTTATATATTTAAAATTTCATATCATTCAGACATGTCAGATGCTGGTGGAAAATTACTGAAGTTCTTAAAATAGTCTGATTTGCCATGGTAGAAGTTTTTACAATTCACAGATTTTCAGGATCAATTATTGAAACAGGAGTGATTTAGTGAGACTGATGCTGTTTTTCAAAATTTGTTATCACAATGGCATTTACTCCCTGAATTAAATTTAATTTTCATCAATGGTGAAGAAAAAGCAGAAGCTTATTGCAAGTGGAGTATGCATGTCTTCTTTTTTATATCATATAATTTTTGTTTTGGAAAATAGTGATACGATCTCTTTCCTTTATCATATTCCAAATTCATGACTTAAACTTGTTAAAGACAAAGGTGACAAAATATGTTCTATACTTTTGATATGAAATGAATAAAAGAAATGTGTGGCTTACTCTTGAAAAGAACTAATGAGAATACACCACCGACCAAAAAACCAGTTGCTGAAATAGAAGAATAGAAGATTTCATTATTTAAGTAAAATAAACCTTACAACATACCGATACTGTACAAGAATAGGCCTCATCAGAATGTTTCATTTGTCATTGATGATTGACACGATTGATTGATATTATCATTTGCACCTTAAGTATAGAAAGAGTCAAGCGTAGAGACAATTTGCTTTTTGCTAGCGGTCTCAACATGGTCAACTTGAAAGTAAATAAAGTACTATTAGCGCGAATTTTCTCTACTAAATAATATATCCTGCGAAAGTAAAAGTAAGGAAAAAGCTTACTTAACTTATTGTCACTTACCCATTTTTACCCCGGTGTCAACGATAGCTCTGTTGACCTTTTCTCCATATTCATCTTCCGATCGCTTAGCCATTTTGATGATATTTTGATCCACCGAGCCTAGCCCGAGGTCGAATCTGTACCGGGAATATGTACTTAGTTAAACCGTACGGTGAAATATTCGATTTAAACGAACCACTTCAAACATTCCTGTTCTGAATGTTCAGGGCTTTAGTATGCTGCTGCCAAAGCTGGGATCAATGCCGTTTCGGCAATATATTTTTAAAACCTAAAGTATAATAATTATATTGAGGATTTAAAAAATTATCGACGAAACAAGTGCCTGACAGGTAAGAGAAGTGGACACGAGAGAAAGGCCTCACAAAAATACAATAGCCAACCAAACAGAAACAGTGAGAACTGCATGGTGAGAAAAGTTAGACAATGACTATTCTAATACAGGAGGACAGCAAGTGTATAAAGTGTGCAAGGCACACAATGTCCTGTAACCAAGCGCCTATGCATTCTACGCCAAGAAATAAGATTTTAAAGATAATTTTAGATACCACCCCTCCTCTTTCTTGCTTTCCAAATCTTTTCTCAGATAAGTTGTCTTTTTTCGTGGTTGCTCCCTTTCATACTACATACATACCTTTGTTTAAAAATAGTATAACACAAATAACTAGGGCTAATTGTAACGGGAACCGTTACAGATGTTCCCCAAACGCTCCCCAACTCCCTTTTGGTGCCTTATTCCCTGCAGGCTTCATTAAATAAGACGAACTCTATGCCTTTTAGACTATAACAATGTTTTCCCAGAAGTATATTAAGTATATTCAAATTTATGCATTGCAACGTGCGCATTTTAATGCATGTGCGTAATGACCATATCATCGTCATATCATATATATTTTAATATACTAGAAATTACAGCATTTAATCCAAAAGTATTTAAAAAAGTTTAATCTAGTGTATTTGTAATTTTACTCATTCCACGTACAGTGACTGCACGCACGTGCATGCATGTGCATGATGACCATACCTTTTTGTAGGAGTCCCTTATGTCTATCTATGTTCTAAATCCCATCCTGCTTAGTTGATAACCAAGGAACTTGTAACCATTTAGAGTTTAAGCCAATCAGATTGCAGCGCACGTGTATGCGCGTGATTTCATGAAAATTATTATATATCAAATTGTAGGATATCCTAATGAATGACTATGTTTTAAATATCAAAGCATTTCGTTAAAAAGCAAAAAAGATATTGAGATTTTTGTTTCAGCCAATCAAAGCGAAGCGCACGTGCATGCATGTGCATGATGATCATACTTTTTTGTAGGAGTCTATAATGTCTATCTATGCTCTGAATCCCATCCTGTTTGGTTGAAAAACAAGGGAGTTATAGCTATTTCAAGTTTCAGCCAATCAGATTGCAGCACACGTTCATGCGCGTGATTTCATGATTTTTTTTATAAATCGCATTGTAGGATATCCTAATTAATGACTATGTTTTAAATTTCAAAACATTTCGTCAAAAAACAAAGGAGATATAGCCATTTAAAATTTCAGCCAATCAGATTGCAGCACACGTGCATGCGCGTGAATTTTTTAAATTTTTTGTATATCATATTGCAGGATATTCTAATGAATGACTATGTTTCAAATTTCAAAGCATTTCGTCAAAAAACAAAGGAGATATAGCCATTTAAAGTTTCAGCCAATCAGATTGCAGCACACGTGCATGCACGTGATTTCATGAATTTTTTTCTATATCATATTGTAGGATATCCTAATTTATGACTATGTCTAAAATTTCAAAGCATTTCGTCAAAAAACAAGAGATATCGAGATTTTTGTTTCAGCCAATCAGAGCGAAGCGCACGTGCATGCACGTGTGTTCTTGCTAATTTGACATTGTCATATTATCTACACTATCAATATATCCTTATATAATGAATTTCAAAACATTTCATTAAAAAATGTAAAAGTTATGGCTATTTTAAGTATACTTGTCATTTCACTCATTTCACGCGCCCGCACGTGCAGGCGTGTGCGCGCAAAATGACCTTCGTTCCGCACACCTACACTACACACCTATTAACCCTAAAAAGGTTTTAACTTAGTTGGGTGAACAGTTTCTGAGAACACTTCCGGACAAAAAAGTACCGGAGAACAAATAAGAAAAAAAAGAATAACTAGAGCAAAGCTCGTTGCAAAGCAACGAGTGGGTCTTCCTTCCTAGCGATAAGCAAAAGATTAAATGTTTCTGTCTAGATTGTCAACTTTGCTAACATTCTCTTTTTCGATTTGTCTCAGAAACCCTTACTTGAATTCTTTAATTTGGTGTGAGCATGAGGTCTAAAGGGTACTCTCTCTAACAGCATTCTTGAAATCGTATCCACAACAGTTTAACTTCCAATATTATGACTTTTGATATCGGATATATCATGTTTGTGAAACGTGTCATACTACAGAAACATAAGTGTTTTGCTACATTACCATCTTAAAAATGGCTTTAAAATCATTTAATATACAATAAAACTAGGTAAATAAAATAAACAAATTATATAATAATTCAAAAAACCCAAATGTATTTACAATAATGATGAACAATCTTCATTAGTTGCAATCAGTAAGTAGAACAATACTTTTATAATAAACGCACAGAAATGTGTTGTGTATGTTTCGAATTTGCAGCTTTCCACTAGCAACTGGTGGTACCTCAATAGGAGTGTAAAATTCTCTGAAAGGTATATTGTAAACATATTACATATGGCTGTGTATTCTTTTTTAGCGGCTTTGGCGGAATGCAGCAATCACTAAATCAAGTACAAAGCTAAAAGTCTTGTACATAAACATAAATAAGAATATCTACGCTAACTTATTCAAAAGTCAATTTCCACCAAATATTGTACAAGCTAAATATTATACATTTACAGCATTAAAGAAACAAATCTCTTTGAAGGTATTGCCCTGCATAAGAACAATTTGAATCCCCTACACTAAGGATGCTCTGTGCCAAGTTTCACTTTGGTTCTGGAAAATGATATTGTGAAATTTTAGACAATGATGATAATGGATAAAATTATGTTTTTAAAAAATTTACGGGTTCCTTTAGCTCAGATGGGCTAATAAATATGCAACAGGCACAGTTTTGCAGTTGACATTGAAATGCGACTGGACATCTCTTCAATCTTGTTTTAGAAAACTACATGTACATGCCCTATGTACTGAATTCCTTGGAATCATACACATGTTTATGCCTTTAATTAGTTGTATGTGCCAAAATAACAATTTTTTTTACATTATACTGTAAAAAATACACATACATGTATTACAAGATCTTCTAATCCTGCTGAAGACAGAGGATCTATCTTAATCATTAGAATAAGTAAGTCTAAACTTTGAAAGGGAAGACCTTAATAAAGAGGTCAACATGCTACACAAACAAAATATTATTATATTTAAAAATAACATTTATTCCAATGTAATTACTGGTACATGTATTTCTGTTACAAAAACTATTTCACTTGAAAAACTGAGAGCAATTGATATGTTCATATTTGTGGATTTATGTTGTCAAATCAAAATTTAAAAATGATACACAGTGTGTTTAAAAATTGTCTTCACAAACCAAAACTTGACTTATTTTCACTATGCTGTTTATTCCATGTCACATCCAAACAGATGATCTTCTGGCAAATCATGGTCATGCTTGGTATCAAAATTCAGTCTTCAGATGAGTCACACCTATCCAAAAGAAATTGAAATTTTTTAATCTATAATTCTTTTACTAATAAAAAGTGCAATTCATGAGATTATAAATTAGATTATCAAATTGAGAGATAAGATATTGTCACATTTTCTGTGTATAATTTGTAAATTTTAATGTACTCTTTCATCAATTAAAAGAAGTTTACACCAATTAAGGCAGTCATTTATGCTATTCCCTAATAAGACAACATACAAGTGCAAAGTAATCATGCACTAGTGGGTTTAGGATAATGTGCTAGAGTATTTATGACAACATACTAGCACGATGTGACAATGTGCTAGCATGTACGTCAGTGATAATATGCCAGCACACTGAATCCAACATGCAGTGAAGCTAACACTCAACAGATTGTTTAAAGTTGTGTTTGCATGATATTTTGTTTTGTGTTAACACAGCAGCGTGTTGTTTAAAGCTGCATTGGAGTGGCAGTCTGTTGAAATTAACATGCTAACACACTGCAACTTCACATCATTGGAACACCATAATTTTAAAACTGACAAACCAATATCTTATGATTACTAACTAGGTAATTGCAACTGTAAATGCTGATTTCATGGTGACAATAATACCGGTAATTCACTGTATATCTGAGAACTGATCAATTATAATAAGGCGTGTCCAGATAGGGCCACTTGCTAAAGCTCAATAGCACTTTCATAAAAGCGTGCCATCTTACCGACACAAAAGACGCCATTAGGCTATCACACAGCTCGCCATCACAACACTGAAAAACACTTTCGCACTAACACAAGTTCGCACCACACGCTGTCACACTAACACACAACACACTGTCACGCTAATACAATTTCACACAACAAAATATCAGGCTAACACGAGTTCACACAACACACTATCATGCTAACACGAATTCACAAACACGCTGTCTCGCTAACACAAGTTCACACAACACGCTGTCTCGCTAACACAAGTTTTACACAACACGCAGTCTCGCTAATACGAGTTCATACAACACACTGTCTAGCTAACAAAAGTACACGCAACACACTGTCACGCTTAGATGAATTCACACAACACACTGTAACGCTAACATGAGTTTACACAACACGCAGTCTCACTAACACGCGTTTACACAATACACTGTCATGCTAACACGAGTTTACACAATACACTGTCACGCTAACACAAATTCACAAAACAGGCTGTCTCACTATTCACTAACACAAGTTCGCACCAAATGCTGTTGCGATAACACACTGTCATCCTAATACCATTTCACACAACACACTGTCATTCTAATACCATTTCACACAACACACTGTCAGGCTAACACGAGTTCACACAACACACTGTCACGCTAACACGAATTCTCAAAACAGGCTGTCTCACTATTCACTAACACAAGTTCGCACCAAACGCTGTTGCGATAACACACTGTCATCCTAATACCATTTCACACAACACACTGTCATCCTAATACCATTTCACACAACACACTGTCAGGCTAACACGAGTTCACACAACACACTGTCACGCTAACACAAATTCAAAAAACATGCAATATCGCTAACACGAGTTCACATAACACGCAGTCTGGCTAACACGAGTTCACACAATATCCAATCTTGCTAACACGAGTTCACACAACACACTATCTCTCTAACACCAGTTCACACGACAAATTTTCAGGATAACAAGTTCACACAACACACTGTCACGCTAACACGAATTCACACAACATGCTGTCTCGTTAATAAGAATACACACAACACGCTGTCTCGCTAACATGAGTTTACACAACACGCAGTCTCGCTAACACGAGTTTACACAACACGCAGTCTCACTAACACCAGTTTACACAACACGAAGTCTCGCTAATACGAGTTCAATCAACACTCTGTCTAGCTAACACGAGTTTACACAACACACTGTCACACTTACACTTTATACACGATTTTACACAACACGCTGTCCCGCTAACACGAGTTTACGCAACACATTGTCAAGCTAACAAGAATTCACACAACCCACTGTCAGGCTAACACAATTAAGTTCACAAAACACACTGCCTTGCTAACACAAATTCATACAACACACTGTCTCGCTAACACAAGTTCACACAACACACTCACATTGCTGAGTTTAAAGTAAAGGTCTACCCTAATTTGAAGAGGTTTAAAACTAACATATCTCTATATTAGTAAAAAGCCTCAAATTTAAGACAAAAACATTTATGCAGTAATGTTCCTTAACATGCATCTGGCATATAAAATGAATGAGACCTTAAAAACCTCACAGTACATGTTTACTTAGCTAATTAAAGGTCTAAATTGATGCTATTCAACAATATATATCAACATCTCTAAGTATGTGAATGAGTGAAATTCTCAAATAAATATTATAAATCAAAGTATCAATAAGAAGCTGAACCTTACGTTGCAGGTTCCAATCCCATTGCTAAATGCTTTAGACAGGTTACTCCTATGAGACTGCATAAACCAAGATTCTGTGTCACGGTTGTTGTTAGCACAAAATGGATCTCATACTTCTTAAAGGCAATAAGTGCTGAGTACAAGTCTATATTTGCAGCTAATACCATCCCAAGTGGTGGCACCATGAAATGACTGAAAAATGTATGATTAAGGCAAATAAACAAACATTAAACCATTACAGCAGTCTTATCAAACAAAAATGCAAACTTTCTATTATTTCAATTTTTTTAAACAAATTTCTTTTGCAATTTAACTGAGCAATATTTGTTCTTTTTTTGTCAGTAAAGTATGATATTAAATAATTAAGACTTTTTGAGAACATCTATTTATAGCGAGTCCAGACAGCAGCACAAATCCCTGCCCATAATGCGAGCTCTTATGATAACACCTTGGCAAAAGAAGATTGTGACTTGCACATTGCTCTACACAATTTTTCCGCAGTATACTTTGGACACACAGTGCTTAGCTTCTTTAACATGTTTAAGCTACATTCAAAATTCATTTCTATTTAATTTGAATTAGATATCCTTACTCATGTTCACATGGAGCTAATGGGAAGTAATTTAACGAGCAGTGAATTCATTCGAATTAAACATTTGAATAAACTCTCAGTGTGAACATTGAGCATGGATGCACCAAATGTCAAATGCGGCTTGACAAGCACAATCTAAATTAAAACTAAATAAGTATCTGCCCTCACCCTTACAGTCACACTGTCAATATATAATTAGTTGAATATATTCTGTAACATTAAGTGCAGTTTGAATTATAGAGTATGATCACTATGATAGATAGTAGGACTGTTGAAATTACATCCTCAAATTTAATAAAAATAAAATATAAAGCTGTGGGGATTTACAAGGCAAACAGAGAGCGTCTGAACTGTAAAACAGATAATATATCGGTGTGTCTGTGTATATAATAACATCAATGTACGGTGTGTCTGTGTATTTCTAATAACATCAATGTACGTCAAATCAGTAGTGTAAATTTTAAGTAATAAAAATATTCTAACCTTCATTCCAATGGTCCAAGCCAATCATACATTAAAATGTCGCCGTCAGCTCTTTCATCACTCGATACAATTATCACTGGGGAATCCGAAGCAGAGTCAAGAGTGTTCATCCTTGTTAATGTGACAGTCAGAATTTCCTCGTAAACAATTCACACAAGATTCTTAGAATATATGAATCGGGATAATTCTGCTTAGAATAATGTTCCAGAGAAGTGACAAAGTACTTCGTAGCTCCAGATTAAATGAGTGTGCATGTCTACAAGCGGATTCTTTGTGAGAAAATGTTCAACTTCACAAATCATTCTATTTTCAGTTTGTAAACCATGACAAACATGTGTCCGACGTCGACTCGAAGGGGCACACTAAAAACGGGATATACTAGAGACCTGATATTTACCTGACGTTTTAATTTTTAATTAAATGGTAATATTGAGTATTTTAAATTACTTATGTACAGACTTTATGACTTCGAGGCATATGCTATACAAAAATTCAATTGTTTGGAACATTTACAGACAAATTTGAATCAGGTCAAATAAGTGTTTAGTACATCGCGTCTTTAGTACCTTCCTATTTCCCACAATGCCGCGCGTTGTTTACAAACAAGCGCGAAAAAATCCTCTAAACTAGGTACTATTTATTGTTGTGTACATCATCACATTTTAAAATTATTTGAATAAAAAGAAAACAAAGAAACACCGAATCAAAACTATATCTTTTAGATGCATCAACTAAAAATGTGCACATGTATGCAGTAAAGGCTTGGCTGGCTATAGTAGACAACTTGTTCCTGAAAGGTTTCTCACATACATGTACTTGTTTTATATAAGAAACAATTAAATATAGCTGGAAGTTTATTTCTTTTTATATCAAATGACAAGATTTTATAAGTTCGAAATTATTTCAGTCAAACTTTTTCATAATATACCAATATTTTTAGCTATCAGAAAAAACGTGTATGAGCTATTAACCCCTAATTATAGGGGCCAGCCCCTTTTCATTAATCTAATATGAAAGCTCTCGTAATTACACACAACTTTTGTTATATATTTCTTACCAAATTATTCTCGGTTCAAAAGTTATTACACAAAAAGTAGCAAAAATTCAAGAAAAAAAATTACTAAAATTTGCCGTTTTATAGCTTCCAAACTTTAGAAAATCAGCTTATAATTTTATCGTTCTGCACATCTACAATGTATTGGCTACAAGTTCTCCAACTTTCGTGTAAATATCCTACGTCGTTCTTGAGATTTTTAGTGGAAACGAGACATCAAAATTATCAATTAAAGGGCAATAACTCACAATTAAAGGCATGCATCAAAAAATTGAAAACAGGTGTAAATAGGTTTAATTACAAGGTATCTAACCTGAAAGTTTCATAAAAATCAGTCCAAAGGTCTTTGAGAAATCGCCTGTCAAAAATCGAGCGGGAAAAAAAAAATAAAATAATAATAAGAAACAGTAGAATAACAGTAGGGTCTTCCGAAGGAAGCGGAAGACCCTAATAATAATAACTAGATGCGTTCTTGTTGCTAGGGCAACAAGCAGGTCTTCCGCCCGACTTTTCGTTAGAAATCTCTGCTCTGCCAGGCCATAAAATAGATTTCAGAATGTATTTTTATCGTTTACTTTCATTGACAGCAGTCTCTCAACATTGATCGTGATTATTACAGTTATTCCACAAAATATCACAAAATATAGCTTTTAAAAATCGACAAAATCTTCTATAAATATAAAAAAGAAAGAAAAGTCATATGTAAATGAAAAAAAAGAGAAACAAAGAAAAATTTTTTGCAACGCCCCCAGCGGGATTCGAACCCCCGACAGTGAGGCAAAATTTGGATCGGTCATATCTTTGCAAAAAATGCACGCATGAAAATGTTGAAAACATATTTAGAGTTCGTAAAAGATACTCTATCAACCCTGTGATTTCGAAAGAAAAATAGTGAAAAACAAAAAAGTTGAAAAATTAGACTTTTAGAATTCACTTCCGTTTGCGACCGGAAGTCAGAACGACGAAAAATGAAGGTCGATCAACATATCTACATTCGATGTTCTATCACGTCCGTAAGTTTCAGTTTTATATCTGTTACTGTTCTCGAGAATTTTTTGCGACAAAATTCCATTTAAAAAATACAAATTTCCCTAAAAAACGCGAACGGAAGGAAATTTCGAAAAAGTGAGGGACACCCCTGGAGATATTAACATGATGCACCATCCCTGAAAAAATCGTTTGAATTGAACCATGCACAGCGGAGATATGACCTGTACTATGAAAAGTGGAATAATAATAATAATAATAGAAAACAGAAGGAAAACAATAAGGTCTTCCGAAGGAAGTCGGAAGACCTTAATAATAATAATAAGAAACCGAGTAAAAACAATATGTTCCCAAACTCCGTTTGGGGAACATAATTAACTGATTTGGAAAGCTTATTTGAAAGATTTTCAGGTGAAACTTTATTATACAAAAAGGCATAGGCGCTTGGTTACAGGGTGGTGTATTTTGTGTATTATGTGTTTTTCTATGTGTGCCTGAATACCCTCATTAAAATAAAAATAAAAATTCGCCGAAATTAGCACGTTTTAAAAAATGTCATATTTACTGTATATAAAAAGAAGGAAGGAGCGCCACTCTCCATCTTGAAAATCAGGGGGTACCTGGGTTCACACTAAATTTTCATCTATATCTACATCTAAAATTAAAGTAATATTTTTCTTGATATTTTGTGTGTGCATTTGTGATTTTGTTTCCGATTTTGATTGAAGCGACATTCAATTCACACCAATAATTAAGTTAAAGTACATGTACCTTCTAATGTTTAACAAAAAGCATAATTCGATATTCATTGATTTAATTAAAATTGAACTGACCCTATATAAATAAAGCATTTGGAGGAAATTTTGTTTTTACTTTATTTTAATCAGATTGAAAAATCTTATTTATTTTAAATAATTAATCTCCAGTAAAATTACATGTATGTCTTACTTACAAATAAAAAAAAAAGAAATATAAAAAAAATCACGATATGCAGTATGTTATTAAAATTACATAAGTATGATTTTTTTTAAAAAAAAAGAACTCTATACTTTGCCTTCATACTTCAAATTTCGAATGACAATCAAAATAATACATAGGCGCCGGTTCCGGGGGGCTGTTGGATGGGAGGGAGGGTCTACCACTTTTTTTGAAGAGATAGACAAAATATTGAAAATTGGGGCTTTTTTTTGTTGGTTTAACCCCCCTCCCATTCCCCTCTTTTTCAATTAAAAATCAATCTTCTGTAGTATGGACGTTTACACTGTATTTTCCAGATGCATCGAGAAAGCTAAGGTAAATAATATCTGTTGTGACATTGAAGACCCCTTTTAAAGCTTTTTTTAAAAATCAAAATAAGTAATCAATATACTTGTATTACTTTTGATATTTCTGTATTTTATTTTGTGTATAGCTAGCGATGAAGACTCGTGAATTTATATTAGTGTGAAGATTTATCCATCCTGCCTTTTTACATTTTTTTGAAATTAATAGACAAATATACATTGTAATTAAAAGCTATGACTTATACAAAGCCTTGTGTATTGGGGGCGTCAAATCACCACTCCTAGCCATTGATGTTTTTTTTTCAAAGTCAGATTATGAGTGCAAAAGCAATTATTGTAAAAAAAAAAAAAAATAGAGGTACTGTGAGCTAAATGATACACCCCCCCCCCCGCCTCCCATATGAATATAATGGGAGTGTCCATGTTTTGTTGTGGGAAGCCCAAAATATGTGTCGGTTCGAAAAGTAAAATAGGAAGTGCACAATGGCAATATGTAATAAAGATTCTGTGAAAGTTTCATCAAATTTCATTCAGTGGTAAAAGAGGAGTTACGGATAAGAGATGGATACCACAAAGCGTAACAGACAGACGGACGGACATACCGATTACTATATACCCTTTCGCTTTTCAAGCGGGGGGGGGGGGGGTATAAAAAGAAGAAGAAAGAAAACGATAATTACTAATATATATGATAAGAAGTTATAGCAGGACTTCGTGTATGCGAAACTTAATTCGTTATAATATGAATATTTGAGCCGTTCCAAGCAAAAACCCCCCTTATGTAATCTGACAAAATTTTACGTCACAATAGAAAAAGCGACGTCATTATTTTGCAACAAAAACATCAATAAAAATATATCGCGCACTGACTGCGTTCCAACTATATGCTTTGTTTACGTCACAGAATTTTCTCCGTTGTGCTTTCTGCATATTTTCTTTCATGATTATTGTCTATTTCATAACATATCTGACTCTGATTGTTGTCACACTACATGTGCATTACACATTAAAACGACCTAAGAGTGTTCTGATTAAATACATAAAATTTGTCAACACTTCGACGATTATTCTGTTCCATGTTAAATATAAGTTTTCAGTTAAAGTAAATAAAACATGGAACTGTTGTTTAAAATTCAGATTTACGACCCTTTCTTATTCAACAACGACAAAAAATAATTACAAGCAATGATGATATTGAGTGCATGTGAAAATATTTTTTAAAAAGGAAGGAAGAGTAGTTTGAAATGCGTTCTTTTAATCCGAAGTCTTTGCGAAAATTGATTGGACTTAGTCACATATCAAGAAAACTGCACAGGAATTAACACCAATCAAAACTAGATGACAGAATTGTTAAACCACACCAATATCAGATTTAAATTCGGGGTATTTTTTCATTTATTGCAGACCCAGAACCTATTGGAAAAAATGTGACAGTTAGTTCAGCTAACAAAGCTACATTAATTGAAAAGACGTATATCCGACATTCTCCTTTTTTGTAATGTGTTGTAAAGATCGATTACTTGTTAATACTGTTGTAACCCCCCCCCCCCACCCCCCAACAAAAAAATTATAAGAATATATGTAATAAAGCATATATAGAAATAAATACATGCATGTAACTTTTTACAAATTTTTGGAAGTTTTGAAAAGTACCGTATTTGACATGCACACCTACATTATTTATCTAATTGCTTGTCAAGTTATTCTAACCCCCTCATCCCCCACCCCCCGGGCATCATTGCATGCTGATGTTAACAGTGAAAATTTACACTCAGAGAAAATGCGGAGAGGGGCCCCCATGCAACCCCCTGGATTTTTTTATGTGCATGATTGTAAGCAGTGCACAATATTTGTTCACCTGAGTGTAAATCGAGTGCAAAAAAAAAAAAAAAAATTTCCAAAATATTTTAATCAGTTTGGATTTTCCCGATCTACTTTTCGTCTAACGTAGCAAGAAGTAAATGTTCGTAATTTTCACCAGGATTGAGGAAGATCACATGCAAGTGTTCATAACCTGATTTTTTATCCCACAATCCTAGATCTTGGAAAATCAGAGAGCTAGGAGTATTTATCATATTATAAACACTTTTGTCGAATGATTTGAAAAACGATCTGACATGTTTTCAAACGCATGTTCACGGGAAAATATTTAAGCGTTATCATTTTCAATGGACCTGTACCAAGACAACTCTTTGACATTGTAGATGCAAATGTGGAAAAAATAAAATGAGAAATAATAGTGTTTATTTTATCAATAAATAGAGATTCCATTAGGAGACAATAACATGATGGAAATCGTTGTATAAATATGCAATTTTTAATTTGCTGTTCAAATAATTATCCTTAAACAATGTTTGCAATGATACATAATTTCAGGTTAAAGTGCTTACTGAAAGATACAAACAAATCATTAAATGAATGTTGACAAAACAAAGTATACAATCATAAT